CAGACACATTTCTGTCTGCCTCTACACCATGTTCTGTATACTCATGCTTCTTTCTACGTGTATATCTTGCCTCAAATCCTGTTTACGAGACGATCGCATGTTAGAGGTGCGAACGAGGGGCTCTTAGAGACGTGATGGGGCCCTGCTTCCGACACTGCAGCCGAAGCCAGCTTCTGCATCATACCAGCAGCACCCCCTCTCCCCACATTCCAGGCCAACTGCCGTGTAAGGGGCGAAGACTTCAACGAAAAGTCAGAACTGTTGCACTTTGGCAACTCCTCAGCCAACTCATGCTTTCTTTGTGCCAGTTGTCGAGCACGTTTCAGCATTGCATCTACGATCTGGCAAACTTGATTATGTGTAGCTAAGGCAGGGTATATATATAGAGTTATACACCATGTCTGTGTGTATATATATATATATATTTATTTATTTAGGCTAGGGTAAGTGTTAGGTTTAGGGTTTAGGGGTTTCGGGTTTAGGTGGGGTTTTCGGAATTTCGGTACCTGCAGGACGTTCGAGGGCCATTCGAGCGTTTAGGGTTTTGGCTTCGGGTTTGAGATATCCAAACCTGAAGGGTCCCATGTGAACAACTTGGGTTATGCTCCCTCGAGCCTGGCATATTTGCGTTGGGAGCGGTGGTACTGATAAGGCTTCCATGAAAAATCACATCGCTTCCTGTGCAGAGAAATCACTCAGCAGCTATTCTTCAAACTCTCCTTAATGCTGCGCTCATCGATCGGCTAAGTACACACGTCGTGTTCAGCACGACTGTGAGGCAGCCTTCCCACCCCTACCCGTAGCACTGCTCCCTATGCACATGACCGGAACTGCAGACTTGGGTCTACATGAGCTTGTCCTTCCTGCCACATGCCTGGAGCGGGCTCGAACATACTACTAAGCTTGGTATGTGAACCAAGCGACAAAATCGGATATCGACATGTCCCAGCTGAATCATCATCCGAGCATTGGAAGCCCTAGGTTCGGGGTCTAGCTTAGGTTCGTATGGGAACAGAAATGATTGCATTTCTTGACTGTCGAGACAGCAGTAGTAATAGTCGATCGAGTAGCAGCGGCAGCGGCAGTATAGTAGTATATAAAGCAGCAGAAGCAGGGATTAGCAGGGTAGTTAAAATTCTTGCCCAACAAACACAAACCCTAAACTCTATAAACCTAGACCCCAAACCCCCAAACCCTAAACCCGGAACTTTACACCATGTATTTTTTATATTGCACAGAAACTCCGAACCCTAATAAACTCCATAAACCTAAACCCCAAACCCTAAACCCGGAATTTTAAACCCTTTATTACAGTGCACTTGGCCTAAACC